CTTCAAATTTGAGTGCCCATTTGGGGATTAGCTACAGATTTTGGAAATGGTTTCTAGGTGTTTTATTTTATTGGTTTTTTTATTTGTTGTTGCGGGTTTTGTTTGGATTTGGGGATTGGTTTTGGTGGGGTATGGTAGATCTCTTTAGTTGGGGTTGGTATCCGGTATATTTATTTAAATTTTGTACAAATTCAAGCCTCATTATTTGATATGTAATATTTTTATTATTTATTTCTTTAATTATCAGTTCAATATAAAATTAACTTCAATATAAATAATTCAATATCATACAAACAATTATTAATAATGTGAAAAAAAATTTATAAACGTACTTACCCAACGCGCGGGCTTTCTATCTAGTTGAAAGATAACGGTGAAACATCAACGATAACGAGAAATTTTTTTAAATTCAATTAATGTATTAAAAAATGTTTTAGAAAAATAATATTATTTATGCATCAATCATTTAGAAAACTTGATATTTACGAAAAAAGAAAAGGAAAATGTGTACAAGACCAACATTGCATGTGCATTAAACATGTTGATTGTCAACATGTGAAAGGTCATGGGCTCTTATAATTGAGCTGTTCAAGGGACCTAATTTTGATCAATAGATATAATGTAAAAGGTTATGGGCTCTAATTTTAATTTATGAGCTGTTCGTAAAGGGATTTTAGTTTTTAGCATGTGAAAGATTTGTAGCATATCACATCAGATTTTGCTTAGGAAAAAAAAGCTAAAAATGGAAACTTAACATAATCATTTATCCATCATTTATATAATCTAATCAATTCTTTAGATGATTAATTTTCAATTTAATTAATCTAGTAAATTAGTTTTATTGATATTTGATAAGCGTTTAATTCGTGACTAGTAGTATTAGTCGTAATGTAGACTCTGCATTTTCATGTCAAGTGCCTCAAAAAGGCTTGTACAAACAAGATATGGTAAGTAGTATAGTATCAAGCGTGTGAAGGTCTTTTGGGTAGAAATTCAGTTATCGTGAATCTTTATTGTTAGATTAAACAGTAGAATGGTAATTAAGTAAATATTTATTGACACATCATATTATTAATATTCACATGGATCTAGTCGAAAAATGTCATATCGGCGCAGACTGGCTGGATCGATGTCTTCTGGCTACCGTCCGATAGTGGTAGCCGGTTATCGACATTTAATGAGTCAGTGTGAGTGTTTTTATTAATTTTTAATGTTTTATTATAGGGGGTGTTTAACTAAATTAACAAATCTTAGCGGTTTTAAATAGTTAAATAGAATAAAATTAGATTTTGAGAATAAAGAAACCAATATGTATTTTAGGTATGATAGGGAAACAAACTCAATCGCGTAATTACAATCAGCGTTCTTAGAATATTATTTAATTTTAGTGGAATCTATTTATCATACAATCATGCAAAAGTATATATATAAGTTTTTTTATTTACAAGTTTCATGTTAATGTATTGTTTCAGTTATATACTTTAAAAAAAAAAAAAAAAAAAAAAGGTTTTTTAAAAGCGGGTTTTTAATACTATGTAAAGATTGTAAGTTTTGAAACTTAAACTAGACAATATTTATTTGATTGAATGCTTTACTTACTATTAACATAACTTAATCACTGAGAGCAAATGTAAAATTAAATGAAGATCATAAATATTTTCAAAAGAAATTAGCATAACAAGTATACCACATAATATTTGGTTACCATCATATATTGTAAGTCAAATATTTTTATTTTAAGGTAAAATATTTTTATTTTTATAATTAGTATAAATTTTATGATTTTTTTTATTTATAAAGGGAGATATATGAATATTTATATTTTGATAACCTTTTTCAATTAAATAAGTTAAGAGATACCTTTCAACTTTTTTAAAAAAAGAAGAGTAAACGACATGTTTTCACTCGAGGTTTGGCGAAATCCTAAGCAGATATCCCCAGTTCCTTTTATTCCAGATTTTCACCCTTAAACTAACTCTGTTTTCTTTATTTTAACAATGGAAGGCTAAAATGGTATTCAACCTATTTTGATATTAAAAAGACAAAATAACCCTAAAAGACCTCAAATCTCAAATTTCTCTCCACCTCCACCTCCACCTTCACCTTTTCATCTTCCGCTTTCTCTCATCTTTGCCGGCGTTGCCGTCGGCCATTTTCCGTTCCTTTCCGATAATGAAGCCTAGATCTAGCAGTGACTATCCATCTCCCTTTTACATTTCTCCATTTTTTTCTTCTTCACCGCGCAATTTTGCCTTTCTCGTGAGTGCAGCACCCAATCGCCTGATTCTAGCGTCGTCGGACACCCCCATCACCACCAATCACTAACCAACACACCAAAACCCCTCTCACCCCCATCCAAGAGAACCCCTTAATCGCCGACCACCACAAATCTAAGGTTTGCATGATTTTTCCATTTTCCCATCGATTCCGGTAATGGAAATCCCTCCCGTCACCGCCATTCACCTCACTGGCCTCCCCTCTCGAAAACCCTTTCCATCCCTAACAGTCGTTTGGTCACCAGTCGCCGTCCATCACTTCCCCATCTCTTTGCACGACAGCTGGGTTTGGGTTTATTTGGAGCCTTTGTTTTGAGTTTCATTTGCTGCGTTTTTGTTGTGTTTTGGAATGAATTTAATTTGTTGATTGGTTATGGGTTTTTTTCTAGTTGTTTTCCCCGCTGCCACTGTCGTTGCCCACCACCTGTGTTTTGGAGTGAATTTGATTTGTTGATTAATTGTAGGGTGGGCCGACTGCAGTGGTGGTTTGAAATGGAGGTGGTTTGGCCGGTTGTGGTGGCAGTTTGGGATGGGTGGCTTAGAATGGACTATGGTTTGGAATGGGGTGAAGGGCAGTTTCATAATAGCCTGCCACAAAAGCAAACTGTCACTAACAACATTCATTTAAGGGTGGGGATTTGGAATAAATTAAACCAAGGGTATTCACTTGGGATTTCGCCAAACCTCGTGTGGGAATATGTCGTTTACTCAATAAAGATTTGCTTTCAATTGTTTATATATATATATATATATATATAATGCTCATGAAACATGTGCTTAAAAGTACTTGGAAAACTAATGACAACTATTAGTAACTCGTTAAGAAACATTGAACCCATGCTCTAATGATAATATAATTTTTTATTAAACTAATTAAACCGTGATGAGGTATATTTCATTTTCTTCTTGTGAGATTACTTAGTATAAATATATCTGCTTTGTTTAGAAAGTATTAAAAATATTTCTTTCATTATCAAAAAAACCTTTTTTCAAGGGTTATTCAATATAATCTGAATATCGAGGATGACTTTAATACTAAACGATCTCACATGAAAAGAAAAAAAAAAAAAAACCATCCGAGATATATGTAATAATATAATCTTCATGACATTAATTTATTTAAAGAAAATAAGATTTATGTGCATCATATTAGTTAATAATTAAATTATTCTTTGAACGTAGTAACATTGTCATCACAATTAAAACAAAGAAGGCCTTTAATAAAGATGAAGGGTATGGTGATAATAATAATAATGATAATAAGTTTTATATGTTGCATATTTATTCATGTCATATTTGATAATTTAAATCATACCTTTTAGTATGTTAAGTTTTAAAATTTAGTAACAAAAGCAACATCGTTTATTCTTTTAAAAGATATTGTAACAATATCAAAAGGATGTTGTGACACATATTATGATATCAAAACTGCCCATATTAGGACACATATTAGAACAAAAATATATTTTAAAATTTAATAAATTTTAAAATAAATTTGTTTTTATAGATAAATTAATCACCTAAATTATTAACTAATTACTATTAGTCACCAACCTCAACTTTAATGAGGTCAAAAATAGAATGAAAAGATTAACTCTAACTTCTATGATCAGTTAGAAAATTTATAGTATTTGTAGTTTTTTTATTAATTATTTTTTAAAATAAATCATTTTATTTTCCTTTTTTAACTCTAGATTATATTTTATAGAATCTTTACATTATTTTTCTTATACATGAAGAAGATATAATACAATTTTCTTTATATTACCAAAATACAAAGAAAAATAAGTTAATATTCTTGCTTTGGTCTTTATTATTATTATTATTATTATTGATATTTAACTGTAATAAATTTCTTTATTAGTTTTTTGTTCCAAATTGACGTTCTAGACCATGTAATTCTAACAAATTAATCTTAATCTTATGCTTATTATCTACATATAATTAATTTATTTTCAGAAAAAAATAAATTTCTTTTATACATGAAATATTCTATTGCTTTTTAAATTTAAATTTAAATGTAAAATTTATTATTCACAATAATTTAATTATATAAAAAAAAAAATCAATCCTAGTTATTTATTTTAACTCTTTAACCTTTTTTTATTGTAGATAAATAATTTCAAAATCATAATTCTTGAAAAATTAATACATTTAGAGATTTTATTTCATCATAAGTGCTCTTTTGTCTTCTTTCTATACATCGATTTCTCCCTTTTTTTTAACGAAATTTTAAACTAAAAACAACTTTTTCTCTTCTCAAAAGGTTTAAAATAAGTTCAATTTATGATGTGGTATCATATCATCGTTTTAAAAAAATGATAATATTATATCAAATAAGAAACTTTTATTAAAATTATTTGTTTTTTATGTATACTTAAAATATTTTCAACCGTCCCAACGAAAAAAAAAAAAAAAAAAATCTGCTTTCACCCAAGCATGTTGATATTTTAATATATTTTTTCATCCATTTTATCATTTTTTTCAAAGATTTGGCTCAAGTTAGTTACTACTTCAACGGGATAATATAATCCTTTTTAACCCTAATTTGACTGAGATTAATTCATTGTGCTTACTCTACGTTTCATAATTGTTCTTATATTCACAACATTAGCATAACCTATTCACTTCTTCTTCTTCTTCTTTCATTTTCTCCTCCATAAATATAATTAATTTGCTTGCCCTTCTTCAACGGTGAAGAATATTAATATGCAGAGCGCTTCAATGGATCCTGAGATGAATATTAATCCAGGGGACGATGCATTTCGCGACGATTGCATCCCTGTTGTCTTTGTTGCTGCAATCTACTTTGGTTTTTTCTTTATAAGTTTCTTAGGAGGCTCTAACGATCATCCTCAAATCGAGGTGAACTCAGTATCCATCGATAACTTTTCAGTTTCCGTTTCAGAGTCTCAGTTAACTGGTAACTGGAGTGTTATTTTGTCAATCAAAAACCCTTACAAAGATGAGATAATCTCGTATTCGAGTTTCGAACTTCATGTCTCCTACAAGAAAGAATTTATATCAGGAAGGATGGTCATCAATGGTTTTGAGCAAGCCGCTGGTCAAGAGAATTTGTTCGCCGCAGGATTCAGCCTCTCATCAGCACCAATTTCTAGCCAGTCTGCACGTCGAGTTGAAGATGAGTTGATTGGAAGCCGAGTTATAGAATTTGACGTGATGATACACGGAAGAATAAAGAGGTTTGCAAATGAAGGATCGAGATCTAGAGCGATGCATTATAAAATTACAGGTTCATGTGAGAATTTGAAGGTGGGATTTGGGTCCAATTCCACAGTTGGAATAATGCTGAATAGCCCTTCCATGCAAAGTGCGAAGCCGACGAGCACGCTAGCTGAATTAAAAATTGTATTTAGGGGGCAAAGAAGAATGATTGGTTTTTAAATGGTGAGAAAGATATATTTTATATTAAATTTCAAATTTTCCTCAAACGCGGGTGGGGCCACCCCTCAGGCCAAACGTTGGTCCTCCACTATCGACGAGAATTAGAAGAAAGTCTTCTTCGTAAATTAGGGTTTAGAATTTATAGTTTAGAAAAGGGGTATATTATGTACATATATATAACGGCCGAGCCAGAATTCAAGTGAGGATGTGAATAAATTATTTCAACATAATGATAAATATTAAACTTTAATATTATTTATAATTTTTTTCGTGTTTTAATGTTTGGAAAATAATCATTGTAAATACTATTAAACATGTCAAATAAAAGAAAAAAAAAACTTTAAAAAATAGATTTCCTTAAATAAACTAAAGCCGGTTTAAAAAATAATTTCTAAGATAATAAAACGATGATTTATTAACTTTAGAAAAAAAAATATTGGCTTTACAATAATTTTTTTTTTTTTTTTTTTTTTTTTTTTTTTTTTTTTTTTTTTTTACATATAACATGAGCTTTATGTGTTTATAAAGCTAACTATTTTTATTATTTATGCTTTTGGACTTGATTATTAGATGGGGTAATTTATAAGTTATAATATAACTAGGGGTGTTCGGTTCCGGGTACCTTGTACTTTTGAAGGAACCGGAACCAGAACCGAAAACCGACGTTCCTTGAAATTTGGAACCAAACCAAACCGACGGTTCCAGTTCCTAAGTACCCAGAACCAGAACCTGTAACAACGGTTTTGGTTTTGGTTCTGGGTACCCTATAAAATTCATGACCCCCCAAAAGTTTTTAAAATGATAAAAAAACCCTTAAAAATTCAAAAATACCCCCCACCTGGCACTTGTTAACAAAAATAAAATTAAAAACTTTATTACTTTGTAAAGGTAGATTCTCAAAAGTGAAAACCACTTACTTTAAAATTATGCATATAAATATAATGTATTCACATTACTTTTTCTATAAAAGTTTTATAACCCCCCTAATATTTAATTTTATTTTATATTAGTCTCGGTTCCTGGTTCCTGGTTGTTCTGGGTAGGAACCAGAACCAAACCCAGGTACCCACCTCCAGTTCCTACCAGTTCTTTTGAACACCCATAAATATAACACATATTATTTAGGGTTTAACTGTAAAGTTATAAAACTTATGGATTTAAAAAGAATCAGGGATGGCATTGGCCCACCCTAATATACGTATACCTATAAAAAATAAAAAAACTAATGATAATTAAGTAATTACTGTGTTTTTCTTTTATATTATCCAATAATCATATTCTAATCATCATTATTAATAACTTTACCAATCTAAAACAACTACTTATAGGAAACCACTATCCAAAATAGTTTCCAAATAGAGGTTCTTTCCATGTAATCCTAACTAATTAATCTTAATCTAAGCTTACTTACATAATAATTTTTAATTACTATATGGCATGCTTAAAATGATAAATCAATAATTATGTAAGTAACACAAAGTGTATTAAATGTTGATTATATTAAGTAATAAATAAATAATAATAATAAGGATTATTTGCCGATAAACTCTCTTCTTTGAACAACCTGGACATGGCGTCTCCCCCATTATTCTTAATCTTCATCATCATTTCCATTGATCTTTTCTTCTCTTTGATCTCCACTCAGCTTCTCTTTTTCTTCATCTTCAGAATCTCATCATTCCTTTCCCTTCACTCACTCTCTTTATTCTCCTCCACATTTCCTTCTTCTCCATAAAATCATTGTCTTCTTCTTCTGGTTTGGTTTGTTTGTTCTTGATTCAAGAAAATCTCTTGCACGCATCACAATTTTCCGTGTAATAATATTCTCTAAATTCTTGAATATTTCACCGATGAAATATAAATTATTCATGTTTTGATGGGAACATGTGTGGGGCCAAATCTTAGTGGTAACGGATTCCTGCAATCTGTTACGGCCCGTTTGGCGAAACCGTCCACCGGAGACCGCCACCTCCGCCGTCTAAAAACGAGCCCAAAAACCAACCAACCGATCAATCTGAAAAATCATCAAAACACAATACTGATAATAATTCCGCCACAGCCACCCCACCACCACCCAAAAAGCGCCAATCCAAAGCACGGCGCCTTCGCCGTTAAAATCAACAACGACGCACCGAAACCACAACCTCAAGTTCCTGAGCAAAAGCCACTCCGCCGGCTGATAAAGTTGGCGTGGCGGATGATCCCGACAAAGCGAAGAAACCGCCTCATACGAAAAGGTTTCAAGCGCAGCATTGCAAAGGGAGTCTGTCTTAGGAGGAAGACTGGGAACTTGAGGAGATTTATAGCTTGGGGCCAAGTTAGTCAAGGGCAATTCGGAACCACATTCCTTTGTATCGAGAAGGCAACAGGCAATATACGCGTGTAAATCATCGCGAAGAGGAAGCTAACGACTGAAGAAGATGTGAAGATGTTCGAGGAAATAAGAATAATCATCACATGCGGTCATCCGAATGTGATACAGATGTTGGGGCGTATGAAGACCGGTGGCTGTGCACGTTGTGATGGAACTTTGCGCAGGGGGGGAGCTTTTTGATAGGATTATACAGAGGGGACATTACACGAGAAGAAAGCAGCTGAGCTAACGAGGATTATGTTGGAGTGGTGGAGGCCTGTCATTTTTAGGTGTTATGCATAGATTTGAAGCCTGAAATCTGTTCATAGCCATGAAGAAATTCGCCGCTGAAGACGATAGACTGGACTCTCAGTCTTCTTTAGGCCAGGTGTGATTTTCTTAAGGATTTTGAGCTTTAATTTACTTCAAGCAAATATTGTATCTTGCAGTTCTTCACAAAATTCTGATACCTTTGATATAGAATAGTATCAATAATCACTTACCATATCAAAGAAATTCGTGTTTTTTTTTTTGGGTCTAATTAGAAGTAGAAAGCAATTCTAGTTTGATGAAATTATCGAAGTGTTTGAGAAGGAGAACAATAGATAATCAATAAGGAACCATGAGCATATTGAATTTCTATAAGATTTGTGCTACTTTGAAAGAAGTTTACTCCAAGGAAACCACTTACCATATCAGTCTTGTATTGGAGAGACAGAGAAATTATTTTGAGCTATCAAATTATATTATACTCAGAAGAACAGTTGTGAGTGAATCTGCTTCAAAGTGGTCGTATATCAATGGTCGAAGCAAGAGAACGCTCGATCAAAGAGATTGATAGGACTACAGATCCATGTAGTGATCATATCAAATAAAGAAGAGGTGATGGTAACTTGGGAGCTTTTGTCTTGAAACTTGCTTGGTTGAGCTTTGGTTAGACCAAAACAGAAAATTTAAGAGTACATTAGATTTCGTGTCTTCCCCAACCATTTTCTGCGAATTTATATCCACTAAGTACTTAGGCGGTGACTTGGGGATATTTGTTAAGTGCAAGTTCTGTTTAAGTGGTGATATATATGTTCTTCATCATTGCGGCTACAATGAATTGTCCTTTTATATTCTTTAAAGCCTTGTATTAGTGGTTGTATTTGCATAGTTCATGCCCATGATGAAGATGACAAACTTTAGCTGGCTCAAAATAGACTAAATTTTGCCCTTTGTCTTGGGCTTAATTCCTTTCATTTTCGAAACAGGTTACTGTAAGGTTTTTGGTTTGTTCATTACTTACTTCATGACTCCTTCATATGCTTAAGTAATCTGTATTCAGTACTGCAATAACTTGAATAATTTCCAAACCATATGATTTATGCTGTGGGTTAGATTTTCTCAATCCTGCTATGTCACATTTTGCTGATATGTTTCTTATAATAGACATTGGTGTATCTTGGCAGCGCCCAGTCTCAAAACATTCTTGTTTCAACATTGCATGGCTTTCCTTCTCTCTTTCCTGCAACTATAATTCATTCTTTCGGGAGAAACATTGAACGATTGTGGTTGGAAGCCCCTACTACGTCGCGCCAGAAGTGTTGCGAGAATTATGGTCCAGCATGTGATGTGTGGGCGCGGGGGTGATTATTTACATATTACTATGTGGGGTGCCTCCATTTTGGATGGTAAGAATTGATAATCTGATAAAAATCAACTTCTGCTATTCTGTTTACGGTTCTAGACACATCTCAATTATGTTTCTTTTATCGGTTTGCTGTGACTTCTTGAATCAGAAACGGAGCAAGGGATATTTGAACAAGTTCTGAAAGGTGATCTCGACTTTATATCTGAACCGTGGCCTACCATATCAGATGGTGCGAAGATCTAGTTCGGGAATCTTGTAAGGGATCCCAAGAAACGTTTAAACCGCTCATGAAGTTCTTAGTAAGTCTTTATGCATTAAAGAAACATGAACATAACCATACATTCTTATAGCTTAAAGCATAGCAATGAATTTGGTGATTTTTCATTCTTCTAGGCCATCCATGGGTTCAGGTGCACGGCGTCGCTCCTGAAAGCCTCTTGATTCTGCAGTTCTATCGCGCTTGAAACAATTTTCTGCCATGAACAAGCTCAAGAAAATTGCCATCAGAGTAAGCACCCTCTACTGTCGCGACGACTTCTTCTCCTTGCCAACTTGTGTTAAGGCTCTTAACAAAAGGTTTGTAAATTTTCGCAGGTAATTGCCGAGAGCCTGTCGGAAGAGGAAATTGCAGGGCTGAAAGAAATGTTCAAGATGATAGACACAGATAACAGTGGACATATCACTCTTGAGGAACTCAAAAAGGGTTTGGAAAAGTAGGCGCAAATCTCAAGGATGCCGAAATCTAATTTAATGGAAGCGGTAAGTTATAATTAGAGCAATCTCAGAAACCAATGCTTCAATTTGATCAAATTTGATTTACTTTAATCTCGACATTCTTCCGAACAATGCAGGCTGATATAGACAATAGTGGCACCATGGACTATAAGAGTTCATCGCTGCCATGCTTCATCTAAACAAAATCCAGAAAGAAGATCATTTATACGCAGCATTTTCGTATTTTGACAAAGATGGAAGCGGTTACATAACTCTAGATGAAGCAACAAGCCTGTCAGC